TAAAACCAGGACTAAAACCAGGACTAAAACCAGGACTAAAACCAGGACTAAACCAGGACTAAAACCAGGACTAAACCAGGACTAAACCAGGACTAAAACCAGGACTAAACCAGGACTAAAACCAGGACTAAACCAGGACTAAACCAGGACTAAAACCAGGACTAAACCAGGACTAAACCAGGACTAAACCAGGACTAAACCAGGACTAAAACCAGGACTAAAACAAGACTAAAACAGGACTAAAACCAGGACTAAACCAGGTCTAAACCAGGACTAAAACCAGGACTAAACCAGGACAAAACCAGGACTAAACCAGGACTAAAACCAGGACTAAAACCAGGACTTAACCAGGTCTAATCCAGGACTAAAACCAGGACTAAACCAGGACTAAAACCAGGACTAAACCAGGACTAAACCAGGTCTAAACCAGGACTAAACCAGGACTAAATTCAGGACTAAATTCAGGACTAAACCAGGACTAAAACTTGAATTAACAGAATTTAACAGGACTAAATCCTGCTGTGTGGACGTGTCTCTTCATCTTCTATCAATAATATTTTTAATTTGGTTCAGTAAAGTCTGGGCTTTTCATTGTCTTTTAGCAGATAAAACATCTTATGTTACGATTTCCTAGTCTTTGCATCTCTCTCTTCTATCAAGTAATCCAAAGTATTCAGATTACGTTACTCACTTTAAGTAATTTAATGGATTACATTACAAACTACTTTTTGATGTGTGTAATCTGTAATCTGTAGGGGAATACATTTGAAAAGGAACCTTCCCAACACTGTCAAAATGTGACAAGCAGAACTAGTTCATTTTAAACGGTTTGCAGCACTTCAAATGTACGTATCACTTACTTACTTACTCCCCCATCAGAGACTATCACAACACAATCGGTGTGTTTAACTGCCACACATTACATCAGTAGATCTGTAACGATAAGAGATTTTGCTGGATGATTCAGTGACCATGAAATGATTGTGATAAATGATAATATTAACACACTGAGACTATTTTCAACTAATATCATGGCTTATATAATATAATGGAATAAAAATGCAAATACACCCTTTCAAAGATCAATAAACTTTACTTTTACTGCAAGACAACCAAAAACAACAGGCCTAAATAAAACAGACTTGTTAACATAATAATAGCCTAATGTAGTCTGGCTCACAGCAAGGACTTGTTCACAAAAATCCACTTGAACAAACCATTGCTGAACAAAACACAACCAAAACAATAAATAAAATGGATTCTCTGTATCTCTGGATCTCTGTAACAAAATTGTCCTTAAAAGTGATTTTAGTTACTGACTTCCACTGGAATATTGTGGCTCCTGTCTCTGTACCTGCTGCTGTGAGCCTCGTCATTTTGGTCTTGAAGTGTTCGCATTATAACCTGTTCTACATGATCCTATTTTGCCATTTTGTCTGTCAGAAAATCATATATATCTATATATATAGAGAGCCTGGCTCCTCATTTAGTCCACTTTTTTATACAAGGAGTATCATGATGCACTGTGCATGTGTCCTGCAGAAAGAGCCGCTGTCCTGGCTGGTATGGCGTCGCCGTTGGGGTTTGAGTCATTTGCACATGTGGCTGTTGAGATGTGTCCCACTCACTAGTGTTGATTTGGCATTGTGACATGTTCATCTGCGATGAACTGTTTTGGTGCTGTGATGGCGGCGCTAGTGCTGTGGCTTCATGTTAACTGCACAGACAGTGGTGCTTTCTGCACTCAAGCTGCGCACATCCACTGTGTTGATGAACAAATAATCTGTCTATACAGACTATGCCCCATGGTCTACAGTGACATGTTGTTCAAGTGTCATTATGCTAAAGAAACGAGAGGAGTCAGTAGAGCAATAGAAACCTTTTGACATTCAGACTCTTTGGTACAGAGACAGAGACGAGGAAAACAAACAAGCATGCAAAAAGACGGAAAAGTTATCGAGCTTGTTAAAAGTTATCGTACGCATCAGGTTAGTGAAGTTGTAGTGTATTGTTTTGTATCCTGTCTTTGTATATTTATGAAGAATTGCTGGGCAGGAGAGATCTCTAGATTACTCAGACATGCATGGATGACATCTGAAACCTCTTCAGGCCTGTTTTTGATGAGGGAGCAACATTATAACATTGATTTTGCATAACACCTCCTCTTTAATTATTCACTTTGCATCTATTGTAATGGAAAACATATATATATATATATACACACACACACACACACACACATATATATATATATATATCAGTACTCAGTCTCCAGAAGGATCCAGAATGTTAAGCTCCATATTGAACGATCCTCTTTGACTTGGAGATATATTTGTGTCCGTCCACCGGCGAGCCCTTGGATCTTGTTATCCGACTCTGTAAGCCTCCTGCTGCCTGTTGCTTTGGCGGCGTTCCTCATTGTTCCTTTAAAACGCTGTCATATAAGCTATAATTGGCAGTGTTGATGGATAGCTCCCTGAGTCAGAATGTTTAGAATCAATAGAATATTTTATCTGCTCATACCTCCTCTGGGGCGAAGAAGCCGTAACAAAACAAGCGCTGTATCCACATTTGACGCTCTTCACTATTCACGCTGTGGTTTTCAGATAAAACAGTGAGTCTGCTTGTGAAGCGGCATTACTACCTGTGTATGCTTTAATATCCGGTTTTGTGCAAGTCCAAACGCCTCACCAGTTAAAACTAATACGACTCCATTGATCACAGTTCAAATGATTTATTGACTTGTCCAAACTGGTTGCCTCTTAGTGATGTTATTGTCCTCTCTGCGCTCATCCAGGATTTATCACATTTGTTTTTATGGCAGGCATCTTCATCAATTCAACATCAGACACACTGCTTTGGGTTTAGGTTTGTAATTGCTTCATGTGCTGCTTTGGCTATGGAAGGTCTATTGGGGAATTTGTAGGTTTCACTTTGGTTAGTTCACATTTAGATTTATTGTCTTAACTTTTGTACAATATTAAGTTACCGCTGCTATCACATGAGCCATTATCCAAACCATTTTCCTAACCCCTGAATTTAAAGGTGCTTTCCGTAACTTTTCTGAAGGAGCGTCTGTCAAATACTTGTCTCCATGGAGATGTTATTGCCAGATCTGTGGAGAGTCGCCCCATTCACAGACGGAATGAAGTATTTTTGAGCAACAGAAACACGTGTAATGAGTAAATGCTAGATGGATTATGTTTAATGTCATACCATGGAACATTCCAGGCAAAGCAATGACATCTCCATGGAGACAAACAGGTGATGGACCCTCCTCCAGAACATGCACAGTACCTTTAAGCATAAACTGTTTCCTAACATGAATTCTGACTGTTCCTAAACATCAGCACTTTGAATGACCAGTCAGATCAGACTGTCCCTCTGGAGCACACTATCAAACACTTTCAGTTTGCTGTTACAGACACCATTTTGAGGATTTTTTACCATTCCTAAGATCATAAGATATAATATTTTGCTGTGAAATGACTACCCTGAAAGAGTCCCAGTTTTCATCATTTTATTGTTAGATATTGAGAGGGATTCAATCCTTAGACTGAGCACATTATTTTTATGGTTCAGTAATATTAGTGAGTTCAGATTTCATTCAAACTGGGAGACCCAGTAGTGAAAGGAAGAACTAGCAGAAGTCTCAGTGAATACCTGTTTGATGTTCTTGTGGACACTATTCACCAAACCATGTCAGAACATTCAATAACATTGAATCTAGGATCCCAGACGCACGGGGCTCTCTCTCCAGTGACATGTTTTGTCACTTTTATTTTGTTACGAGTGTTACTCCAGAGCTAAAGCTCTGTTATGAACAATACCATATCCGCCTTCAGCCATTGTTATCACAGAACAGCTCTGCCCCTGTCACAGCAGGTACATCATTATGTTGTTAATGAGTTCTGAAAGTGATTAGAAGTACAAGGCACAAAGCTCCCTGGACACACCTATGAGCAGCTAACCTTTGTCTTAGCCTGCGGCTGTTTGCTTGTTTAGAAACTTGTTAAATGAGTCTCTCCTGCACAGGCTACTCGCGACTCATTGCACTGAAACAATGCAATATTCAAATGAACCAGCTTTTATTGCACACACTATCATTTATCTTCATTAAAAACATTTTGACTGTATTAGAAAATAATGATATAGAATTGTCCAAACTAAATCAGTAGCCCACAGTAAGACAGATAAAAAGTCAAGGCCTAATAATGTATTAAACTTCCTTTTATAGTTCAATCGCTTTGACACTAAAGTCTACATTTACAACACAAAATTCAAAATACAACCTTATATCCATTTCCAAGCTTCAACTTTGATTTCAGAACTTCATGCATAATTTTTGCAGAACCTTAAACGCATTCATCAACTATGTAAATACAAAAATATATCTCTCACTGCATGTGCTATTGTTTGGTGAAAATGTGCAGTATTTAGGCAAAGTCCACAGACCAAAGACACGACTGAACACACAGGAAGCACAATATGAAGAGATTTTACAGAGACTCAGAAGCACTAAAAGACTTCTGTAGTGAAACCTGTGTGAACCAGCTTTTCATTCAGGGACTTTGAGGTCCAAGTCAGACACAGTTTAGATGCCAACTGCTAAAAAACACAGGTTTGAAAATGGTACTTTTTTATTTCCTTTGTGGGGGAGATAGTGTAATATTTCCACACATTTACAGCATTTACCTCACTCTCAAACCAACCCTCACCAACCTCACAAAAAAAGTGTGGGCTCATTCTCCGGACAGTGTCTGGGTGACGGTTACATAAGTTTATAAATCTGATGACTCTGTCCTTTCTACAGGAGTGTACGTTTTTTTCACAAAGTTTACTTTTTCAAATATTCTGAATTGTTTTGTGCTTTGTGTGAATAGTTTTGTGAAGTGTGACGAAAAGTGTCAAATTTGTTAAACATACACACAGACAATGTTCAGAAACGATGGAATAAAAGTGTAGTATGATTATGTTTTTGCCTGTCCATGTGTCGCCAGGCTTTCAGTGTGGTTTTCCAGAAGGCTGTGGAGAGAGCAGCTCCAGACGAGAGCCTGACTCAGCGAGTGTCCAACCTGATCCAAAGCATCACATGGTCTGTGTTCCAGTACACCACCAGAGGCCTCTTCGAATGTGACAAGCTCACCTACACGGCCCAGCTCGCCTTCCAGGTGCAACCACACACTCACCGCACAACCACACACTCACCGTACAACCACACACTCACCGCACAACCACACACTCACCGCACAACCACACACTCACCGCACAACCACACACTCACCGTACAACCACACACTCACCGCACAACCACACACTCAACGCACAACCACACACTCACCGCACAACCACACACTCACCCTATAACCACACACTCACAGTACAACCACACACTCACCGCACAACCACACACTCACCGCACAACCACACACTCACCGTACAACCACACACTCACCGCACAACCACACACTCAGCACAACACACACTCACCCAACCACACACTCACCGCACAACCACACACTCACCGCACAACCACACACTCACCGACAACCACACACTCACCGCACAACCACACACTCAACCACACACTCACCGCACAACCACACACCACAACCACACACTCACCGTACAACCACACACTCACCGCCACACACTCACCGCACAACAACACACTCACCACAACCACACACTCACCGCACAACCACACACTCACCGTACAACCACACACTCACCGCACAACCACACACTCACGACAACCACACACTCACCGCACACCACACACTCACCGCACAACCACACACTCACCGTACAACCACACACTCACCGCACAACCACACACTCACCGCACAACCACACACACCACACTCACAACACAACCACACACTCACCGCACACACTCACCGTACAACCACACACTCACCGCACACCACAACCACACACTCACCGCACAACCACACACTCACCGCACAACCACACACTCACTCACCGCACATCACTCACGTACAACCACACACTCACCGCACAACCACACACTCACCGCACAAACACACCGCACAACCACACACTCACCGCAGAACCACACACTCACCGCACAACCACACACTCACCGTACAACCACACACTCACAGTAAATCCACACACTCACCGCACAACCACACACTCACCGCACAACCACACACTCACCGCACAACCACACACTCACCGTACAACCACACACTCAACATACAACCACACACTCACCGCACAACCACACACTCACCGTACAACCACACACTCACCGTACAACCACACACTCACCGCACAACCACACACAACCACACACTCACCGCACAACCACACACTACAACCACACACCGTACAACCACACACTCACAACCACACACTCACCGCACAACCACACACTCACCGCACAACCACACACTCACCGCACAACCACACACTCACCGCAGAACCACACACTCACCGCACAACCACACACTCACCGTACAACCACACACTCACAGTAAATCCACACACTCACCGCACAACCACACACTCACCGCACAAGCACACACTCACCGCACAACCACACACTCACCGTACAACCACACACTCAACATACAACCACACACTCACCGCACAACCACACACTCACCGTACAACCACACACTCACCGTACAACCACACACTCACCGTACAACCACACACTCAACATACAACCACACACTCACCGCACAACCACACACTCACCGTACAACCACACACTCAACATACAACCACACACTCACCGCACAACCACACACTCAACATACAACCACACACTCACCGCACAACCACACACTCACCGTACAACCACACACTCACCGCACAACCACACACTCACCGCACAACCACACACTCACCGCACAACCACACACTCACCGCACAACCACACACTCACCGCACAACCACACACTCACCGCACAACCACACACTCACCGTACAACCACACACTCACCGCACAACCACACACTCACCGTACAACCACACACTCACCGTACAACCACACACTCAACATACTAAACACACACTCAACATACAAACACACACTCATCGCACAACCACACACTCACCGCACAACCACACACTCACCGCACAACCACACACTCACCGCACAACCACACACTCACCGTACAACCACACACTTACAGTACATCCACACACTCACAGTACATCCACACACTCACAGTACAACCACACACTCAACATACTAAACACACACTCAACATACAAACACACACTCATCGCACAACCACACACTCACCGTACAAACACACACTCACCTACAACCACACACACCCTGATGGCCGAATACAGGAAGTGCTCCACTGTGTTTCTAAACTCCATACACCTTCACTAGAATCATTTGGATAATTTCAGCCCTGGAATTGTCAAACTCTACTGAAAAAAGGTAGAAGGAAATGTTCACTTGAAATCTACACAGCAAAAACTGTAGAGTTCAAATTTCAGGGTAAAATATTTCAGTTGTTTTTAACACAAAAAACTATTTAACTCTTTTGGAAGTTAAATGGAGGGTGGAGTTGGGGTTATTTGCCTGAGTTGATACGGCTGAAGTTAATTCAGCTTCCCCTAGTGTTAATTTAACTTCCCTTACAGTCCCTGACAAAAGTCTTGTCTCTTATCCATTTTGTAGAAACAAAAGCTTATAACCTGACTTTAAATTAATCGATTGGTTTTAGAAATGTCTCATATGAAAGCTAAAACCCTCCCAAATTATGCTCAATATACTAAAATAAATTTGTTTCACTGAAGAAAGATTGATCATTTAATGAACACAGAAAGGTCAGATTTTGACAAGACAAAAGTCGCCTACAGAAAATTGAACAAATAATTTACTTCAAATACAAAAATATGTTGCAGAACGTCAGTGAATGAAGTAGTGGTGCTGTGAGATCCATATTTAATATCTTGTATGACTCCATGAGCTTGAAGGACGCATCCATGTGGTTCAACAATGATTCATACAATTTGTTGATGAAGTCATCAGGAATAGCAAAGAAAGCGTCTTACATGCCTCCCAGAGTTCATCAAGATTCTTTGCTTTTGCCTTCCATGCTTCCTCTTTCATTCTACCCCAGACCTGCTCAATGATGTTCATGTCTGGTGACTGGGCTGGCCAGTCCTGGACCACCTTGATCTTCTTCACCTTGAGAAACTTTGATGTCGAGATAGAAGTATGTGATGGAGCACCATCCTGCTGCAAAATCTGACCCCTTTTATGGTTGGGAATGTAAGAGGAGCTAATACTTCTTGATATTTTAGGTTATTGATATTGCCTTCCACCCTGCAAATGTCTTGCACAGCCCCATACTGGATGGAACCCCAGACCAGGATTGTTCCGCCACCAAACTTAACTGTTTTCTGGGTGAACCTTGGATCCATGCGGGCTCCAGTAGGTCTCCTGCAATATTTGCGGCAGCTGTGATGTAATTCAACCGAGGATTTATCTGAGAAATCCACCTTCTGCCACTTTTCCAGTGTCCATCGTTTTAGCAGGCTGTGGGCCTTGGCAAATGCCACACGTTTTTTTAATTGTCTTTTGTTTAGTGCTGGTTTCTGTGCACTGATTCGACCATGGAGGTCATTTCGAGACAGAATTCTACAAACTGTTGTGGTTGACACAGGGACTTGAGGTGACCAGGCCTGGTGGAGTCTGCTGCAGTGGAAAAGGGGCTGGCCTTGGATTTTTGAATCAACAAACGGTCCTCCTGAGCAGTTGTCTTGCGGGGTCTGCTGGACCTGGGCTTGTCAAAAACATCTCCGGTCATTTCAGATCTTTTTCTTATTCTTTGTACTTGACGCTGAGACACATTGAAGGTGTCACCACCTCAGCAGTGGATCTGGTCTTCAGCCTCTTGATAATTAACGCTTTGGTCTCAGGGTGGATCTTAGGCATGTTGTCAGAGGTCAAGTTGCAGTTGATGTGAAGGTCTGGTGTGCTGGGTCTTTTTATACACACCCACTAATTGATTGATCAGTAATTGATCATAGGTGAGGCTGTAATCTCGGATTGGGTGCATCATATGACAAGGCCACAAGACTTTTGTCTTGCCAAAATCTGACCTTTCTGTGTTCATTAAATGATCAATCTTTCTTCAGTGAAACAAATTTATTTTGAGTATATTGAGCATAATTTGGGAGGGTTTTAGCTTTCATATGAGACATTTCTAAAACCAATCGATTAATTTAAAGTCAGGTTATAAGCTTTTGTTTCTACAAAATGGATAAGTGACAAGACTTTTGTCAGGGACTGTAGTGTTAATTTGGCACCTCCCACCCACCACTTGAAACTCCCACAAGAGAAGACCAGTTTTCTGCATCATTTCATATTGTATAACATTTTAAAGAAAATAAAGACTTTACATGCGCCGAATGTGTGTTTGAGTTTGTTTTGTTTTTTTTACACTTTTTTTTTTACACTTTACAATATGTAGTTACTACTCCTAAACACATGTTTAGCTAAATCAGGATAACCCTAAAAAGTGTTATCCATTTACTCTCAAAGTGTTAATATATCTCTTGATTTTGGTTTTAAACAGCACTTTGGTGTTAGTTATTTAACATTTCCAAAAATGTTAAATTAACTCTAGAACAGATTGGATTCATATAAACCCTGTGAAAATGTTAAAATTGATTCTGTGAGAGTCAGCTTTAACACTTGACTTTTTGTTGTGTACAAGATGACATCACAACAGAGTATTTTGAGCTTTGGACATGTAGACAGACTCATTTCTGCTCCACGTTCCAGACACACACTGGTGCACTTGGAGACTTCTGTCCATCCTCTGAGTTGTTCTTGACGTACATCAGACTGGGAAATGCTCCTGGGACTGCGACTTGCCTTTGCTTGTCTAAGGAGAAGGGGGCGCTAGACTCACCCCTGACTGTGTGTGTGTGTGTGTGTGTGTGTGTGTGTGTGCAGATCCTGCTGATGAACAAAGAGATCAGCCCCGTGGAGCTGGACTTCCTCCTGAGGTACCCGGTGCAGCCAGGAGTGAACTCACCCGTCGACTTCCTGTCCAACCACTCATGGGGCGGCATCAAGGTACACATACAAGTAACACACACACACACACAGTCATACACGTAACAGCACACACAACACACAGTCATACAACGTAACAGCAAACACACAACACACAGTCATACAACGTAACAGCAAACACACAACACACAGTCATACAACGTAACAGCAAACACACAACACACAGTCATACAACGTAACAGCAAACACACAACACACAGTCATACAACGTAACAGCAAACACACAACACACAGTCATACAACGTAACAGCAAACACACAACACACAGTCATACAACGTAACAGCAAACACACAACACACAGTCATACAACGTAACAGCAAACACACAACACACAGTCATACAACGTAACAGCAAACACACAACACACAGTCATACAACGTAACAGCAAACACACAACACACAGTCATACAACGTAACAGGAAACACAACACACAGTCATACAATGTAACAGGAAACACAACACACAGTCATACAATGTAACAGGAAACACACAACACACAGTCATACAACGTAACAGGAAACACAACACACAGTCATACAATGTAACAGGAAACACACAACACACAGTCATACAACATAACAGCAAACACACAACACACAGTCATACAACGTAACAGGAAACACAACACACAGTCATACAATGTAACAGGAAACACACAACACACAGTCATACCACACAGGGCCAGTAAATTAATTTTAAGAACTGTATTTATCCCCCAGGCCACAGTTTGGACACTCGTAGGTTACAATAAATCAACCTAAACCTTTACATTGCACATTTCTCTGATCTGGCCAAGACTTTAAAACTCATATCAGGCTATTCATTTAGTTTTTAGATTTATTATCCAATTACTAGTTCTGAGACGCTTAATTCTAGTCTAAAGGTCGTTTATTTTACGATATTTGCATGGACAGATCATTTCACCACTTCTAAGTCACTTTCTGATCGATTTAAGTGTTTATATTTTACATTTTGGCCAAACTTTTGTAATTAAGAATTCGTACTTAATCATTTTGCATTAGTGGTGTTTTCATGAATGGAATAAGAAACAGGTAAAAACTTCTGGGACTCGAGGGCTGCTGACTTTATCATTTCAGGTGAAGTGTGATAGAGTGGAGTTGCGCACAGCTCTGTCACAGCAGCAGCACCTGTGAACTGCTCCTGACCTTTGGATTCACTAGTGCACCTGTCTGCCCCGTCTCTTATTGCTTCTCACCACCTCTTCCACCTGCACCTGTCTCCCCCCGACTCTCATTCACCTGCTTCTCCATCCTGCACCTGTCTTTACATGTCTTTCTTTATCATCTGCTGCTTCCCTCTGCTTTTCCCTCCTTCCTAAACCTGTTTCTTCATGATTCTCCTTTCTGCCCCTGTCTCTCCTTTCTGCCCTTGTCTCTCCCTTCTGCCCCTGCCTCTCCCTCTGCTCTGTTTCCCGCTCTGACAGTCCCCTCATGCCTTCTCAAATACGAACCGCCTCTCAAACCTCACAGACTCACAGGGTTTAGCATTTTTTTCCCTTCTGGGGGTAAAAATATCCTCTGATTAGCATAGGTTTGTTGACTCTGAGCGCAGTAACTTCAGACTCTCAGATGAGGGCATATGTCAGGGGGCTGTTTATGCATCAAGTACTCGGGGGTGATTCTACACGATTAGATTTTCTTGTAGTTGAGATACATTTGCCTGAGTACATACTGTATATATGTTGTAAAAGCAGCTCTTATGGTAGAAATGAGGCCGCTGTGTCATGTCTGAGTCCAATCTTAAAGTATTTTTTACTCTGAGAAACAGGAAATGCACTGTTAACATGCTAGTTGTTGTTAGAATCTGAATTTATTTCAGCATAAAAAATACACAGTGTATCGTATTGTATGTCAAGTGCAGTCTTAAAAAAAAAAAGCCTCCACCCATCCCCACTTTCTAAATGAGCATTACCGTCCTAATAAAACACTGCTCCATCCGCTGAATGTTGTGAAAATCCCTTCTAAACTCATCCCTGTGAATAATCAAGAATGTGTAAGGAAAGGGTGGAATGACATTGGACGAATACCATTTTTTAATTTTTTCCCCTTTTTTTAAGTTGTGTTTTTCAAGTTCGTGGAGAGGATGTATCAGGCTGTTGTGGTGAAGTGGGAGCTGAGTCGAAAGGCAAAGTTCTTGATTTACCGTCAAATTATATTCCTCACCTATGGTCATGAGCTCTGAGTAATGATCGACGAGATCGCGGATACAAGCAGCCACAGGGTGGCTGGGTGCTCACTTAAAGATAGGGTGAGGAGCTCAGTCACATGGGAGGAGCTCGGAGTAGAGTCACTGCTCCTGTCGAGAGGACGCTCAGGCATCTGTTCTGGATGCCTCCTGGACCAAAGGATGACCCAGGGCATGTTGGAGGGACTATGTCTCTGGTCTGGCCTGGGAATGCCTTGGGGACTCCCCAGAGGAGATGGAGGAAGTGTCCAGGGTGGAGGAAGTCTGAGAGTCCCTGCTTAGACTGCTGCCCCCGCGACCCGACCCTGGATGAGGGGAAGAAAATGGATGGATGGATTTTTCAAGTTAAACACTGAATTTCTGCAGAATCAAAAACAACTGTGAATCTGAGGTCAAAGAAGTTCTGTTTTGAATGTTACAAGGCTTTTTCAGAAGGAGATGTACGTATGTGTGACGTGTGCAACACAATATTGGCTGTTTCTGAATCGTCCTTAAACTGGACAGTTTGTGACTCTCAGTAATCTGTCCCAGACTCTGCTCTGTTCAAACACAAAGTGAAGGGACCAAAGAGCCAGGCAGGTGTCTGAGCTTCACTGAGGTCACTTTCTAGACAGAGTCGGCTCTTATGAACAGTCCCTTAAAGAAGACATACTGTGTATAAAATGACTTAATAAAAGGAACAAGTCTGCTGGTTTCTGCGTTAGTAAACCGTGGGGCCCAGTGGGAGCTCAAAACATCATCACAACAAAGAGCCGTGTCGCTGTCGGCCCCTCTTCACATTACAGAGTAGCAGCTTTTTTTTTTTTAATTTGTGCCAAAATGACTAGGCTGAATCTTGCACAAACCACAGTTTAAGAAAATAAAATTGGAGAACAAAGTAAGCACCCAGCAGTAGGTGTGGACTGGTGCCGGTGAAAAGTGGCTCCTTGAAAGTAAACGATTCAAGATTACTCACACTCTAAACACAACTTGAGGTGAGTATATGGTGAAGAGAAACTACTACAACGTGGTTAAACACTCTGAAAAGTCCATTTTACAGGATAGGTCTGATTTAAGAGAACCAAACTCAGCACAGAGGCAGAGCAACACAAGTGAGTTTTCTTGGATAAAAAAAAGCATGTTTGGCATCAGATTCATTTATTTTCTTATTCCATCTTATCAGTTTGAACAATGTGGTCAGCTTCGTCCTTTTCTCTGGGAGCAGTTTGTACATAAAATGAGTTCTGACATTGGATTCTGTCGTATGAATGAATATAAAAAGAGCCGGTGTTTTGAACGGCTCTTCGGGGAGAGGACGGCTCAGGGTGGGAGAGGAAGGGAGGAGAGGTGGAGAGAGTGGAGAGGAGGAATAAGAGCAGGTGATGGGAAGAGAAACTGACAAAAGGAGGAGAGAAGGATCTTGACGAGAGGAGAGGGAGAGAGGGAGGCTGACGCGAGGAAGAGAAAGGAAGAGTGAGGAAAGGAAGAGAAGAGGAAGCTGACGAGCAGTTTGCAGGAGAGAGGGAGGCAGAAGGAAAGGAGTGGAGAAGAGAAGGAGGATAAGAAAGGGAGGAGCTTGAGGAGAGAGGAAGGCTGAGGAAGGGACAGGAAGTGACCAGACGAGAGAGAAGAAAAGGAGGGGGAGGCCGAGGAAAAGAGGAGAGAGGGAGGCTGAGGAGAGGAGGAGAGAGAGAGAGCCTGGAGAGGGAGGCTGAGAAAGGGAGGAGAAAGTGAGGCTGAATAGAGGAGGGAGGGGACTGAGGAAGGGAGGAGAGAGGAAGGCTGAGGAGGGGAGTGGAAGCGACCATATGAGAAATGTGGAGGGGAGCAGGGAGAGAAGGAAAGAAAAGAGAGAAAAGGAAAGGAGGGGTAGGCTGAGGACGGAAGCAGAGAGTGGAGCTAAGCAAGGGAGGAGAGAGGGAGGATGAGGAGAGGAAGAGCAAGGAAGAGTGAGGAATGGAGCAGGGAGAGAGGAGAGGAGTGGAGAAGAGAGGGATGCTGAGACAGGGAAGGAGAGTGAGGAAAGGAGGAGAGAGGGATGCTGAGGAAAGGAAAGAATGAGGCTGGTGAGAGGAGTGGTGGAGGGAGGGAGACTGAGGAAAGGAGGAGAGGGGGAGGCTAACGAGAGGAAAGGAGTGGAAGAGAGAGGGAGGCTGCGGAAAGGAGGAGAAAGTGAGGCTGAGTAGAGGAGTGGAGGAGAGAGGGAGACTGAGGAAGGGAGGAGTGAGGGAGGCTGAGAAGAGGAGTGGAGAAGAGAGGGAGGAGCTGAGGAAGGGAGGAGAGAGGGAGACTGAGGAGAAAGAGAGGCTGAGGACAGGAGTGGAGGAGAGAGAGAGACTGAGGAAGGTAGGAGAGAGGGAGACTGAGGAGAGGAGTGGAGGACGGAGGGAGACTGGGGAGAGGAGTGGAGGAGGGAGGGAGACTGCGGAAGAGAGGAGTGAGGGAGGCTGAGAAGAGGAGTGGAGAAGAGAGGGAGGCTGAAGAAGAGAGGAGAAAGCAAGGCTGAGGAGAGGAAAGGAGTGGAGGAGAGAGGGAGACTGAGGAGAGGAGTGGAGAAGAAAGGGAGACTAAGAAAGGGAGGAGAAATTGAGGCTGAGGAGAGGAGTGGAGCAGGGAAGGAGACCGAGGAAGGGGAGGAGAGAGGGAGCCTAAGGAGAGGAGTGTAGAAGAGAGGGAGGATGTGAAAGGGAGGAGAGGAGGTGGGAGGGAGACTGCAGAAGAGAGGAGTGAGGGAGGCTGAGGAGAGGAGTGGAGAAGAGAGGGAGACTAAAGAAGGGAGGAGTGAGGGAGGCTGAGAAAAGGAGTAGAGAAGAA